AAACCCTGTCCTGTCTCAGTCTTATTGTCGGATCATTGTTGTGTTTTGTTCCTGAGCTTTGTCTCCCACGTGCCTGTGATTTTGAGAACCTGTAAGTGATTTTTGAGCTGCCTCAATAGCATCTTTTGTTGTTTAAATAAATCCTTTTTGCACCTTTTGAAACATGCCTGCGTCCTGGGTCCATTCCTCCACCAATCCTGATAACATTAGTTTATTGATGGAGTCCTTCCAGTTTGATTTTTGTGTCTCACTTAGTGTCCCAAGCATTTGCAACAACGCCCTGTTCATGCGTTCAACTTGACCGTTCCCCATTGGGTGATAGGGTGCTGTCCTAGAGCCAGTCATGCCACAGAGTGTTTTTAGTTGACTGAATAACTGATTTTCAAATTCACCTCCTTGGTCATGGTGAATGCAACAGGGGAAGCCAAACTTCAGGGCATGGTTGTTGAAAATAAGGTTTGCAGCAGTTTTGCCTGACTTTGAGGTGGTGGCGTAGGCTTGAGCAAAACACGTGAAGTGATCAGTTACCACTAAAATATATTCATAACCTCCTTTGCATTTTTCAAGATGGAGAAAATCTATACACACCATCTCAAAGGGCTAAGTCATTACAATATTTGTTAAAAGGAGCTATTGTGTCATGACTGGGCTTTTTTGCTTGACACAGGAACACACTTTGGTCACATAATGCTCAATGTCTGCCTGCATGTGTGGCCACAAGAACCGGTCACATATCAAAGACACTGTGTGGTCAACACCTTGATGGCCCATTTTATTGTGCAGCTCTTCAAGTACAGCCTTTTTGAAATGATCTGGGAGGACTAGCTGTTTACGGGCGGAAGTGACTCGGTACAAAGTGCCATCGTTGTCTATTATTAACTTGTTCCACTCTCTGAACAAACATTTTGTCTTTGGGTCGAAGGTTCTTAGCTCTTTTGGCAGCGGCTTTGAGTCTGTCTGTTTACACTGTAATACAGGACTTATAACAGGATCAGACTTTTGTGCTTCATTTAACTGTCCTTTCTGAATAGGTGTGCATGTTGCTTCTGCTGACTCACCGTCTATTGTGACCGATATAGCTACAGTTGACAGTGTCCATGTAGCAGGTGTGTCATTCTGTACTTCAATGGCCTGGATAGCAGCTGCAATAGTGTCTGGCGGCAGCTCTTCAGAATGGTCTCTCATTAATGTCTCCACATCAAGTAGCATCCTTAATGAAGCATCTGCATCAATGTTCTCTTTTCCTGGTTTGTACTTGATAGTGAAGTGAAAATCAGCAAGCTCTGCGACCCATCTTGATGTGGTGGCATTCAGTTTGGCTGTTGACAAGATGTACGTTAGCGGGTTGTTATCGCTATAAACAGTGAATGTTGGGGCATAGTATAGTCTCTGAATTTATCTGTAATGGCCCATTTCAAAGCTAGAAATTCTAGCTTGCCTGCATGGAAGTGGTAGTTTTTTTCAGCTACTGTTAATGTACGGGAGCCATAAGCAATAACTYGYAGCTTACCTTCTTGCTTTTGGTACAGCACTGCACCTAGTCTTTCGTGTGAAGCGTCTGTGTGCACGATGAATGGTTTTGTGAAATCTGGAAATCCAAGYACTGGTGGGTGGAGCAAACAATCTATTAGTTCCTCGAGTGCAGTTTGATGATGGTCGGTCCACACAATTTGTTTGGAGGAGGGCACGACTTGACTGGCTTTCTTCTGTCTTGTCTTCGTCATTTTTTTGTTGTCTGAGTTTTCTGTCTTTGTCAGCTTTTAACAGTTCATACAGACAGCTCGCTTTCCTGGAAAAGTCTTTTATGTATTGTCTGTAGTAGGAGAGAAGACCTAACATCTTTCTGAGCTGGAAAAAAATTGTATAGGTCCTCTGGACGGGTTCTTCTTTAATGAAACGTTTCGTCTCTCTTCCAAGAGACTTCTTCAGTCTGAGAGTTTCAGGCAAAATTCCCCTACCCTCAGCAAGGACAAGAACATCATCATTCTTCCAGCAGACAAAGGAAGGTGCACAGTTATTCTG